GTCCTTCTGTGCAGACAGATCAGACCTGGGCCTGCTCCTGGAAACCTGACGGAGTGCAGGCTAGGGCTGGGAGGGGGCCAGCAAGCTGTGCCCAGGGGCTGGGAAACAGCGCTACTCCTGCTCTCTGTCTAAACCACATCTTCTTCCCTTAATCTCCACCCCACTGCACAGAGTGGCCAATCTGCCTCCTTCTCAAGAGGTGGGGACTTACTCACGTTTTACAGAGAACAAGGGGGAAAGGGGTCAAAAAAGTTGCAGTGTTGTGCCTCAAATCATCCAGGTGTGAAAGGGGAGGTAACAAGTATCAATAATGATTTCAGAAATGATAATATCCAGCATTTCCTGAATGCCAGACACTCCCCTATTACAGATGAGGAAACCGAGGCGCAGAGGTGAAGTGACTTAGAGTGCAGCAGGAGATGAGTGGCTCAGCCCTGTTTGAAGCCAGGCAGCTCCGAGAGGCTGGAGGCAGGGCGGCGCAGCCACTCAGGAGCTGTGGGCGCCGGCTGCAGCCACACTCTGCGCTACTTGTTTCGTAAGGGTTCCCATCTAGTCCTCGCCAGCAACCCGCAGGCTGCCATGCCCACGCTCTGAAAGAGGTGAGGAGGCCCGGCACCGGATGGAGGCGGATGGTAAGAAGCCGGGCCTGGATTTGAATAGAGAACTGCAGGAGTGAGGGTCTTGGTCCCCTTTCCCAACCGCCACATCTGCTGTGACGAGGAACTATCCCTCTCCAGGCGGCGGCCCGCGGAGAGGCACAGCGTCTGTCCCATTCCTTCTCTCCCCCGAGGGTGTCCTTGTCGCAGGCTTCTTCAGGGGGACTGTGTCGAATTAGGCTTGGCCCACATCAGGTCTCAGGCCAGCGTCCCTCCTGTGTGTGCCTCGACTTCCTCATCCGTAAACCGGGGATGAAGTGAGAATGGGGAGCCAGTGAAAGAGCGGGCCTCAGGCAGCCGCGCGGTCTGCCCAGCGCTTGGCCAAGGCCCCTTCTCTCCAGTCCCAGCTCGGATGGGTCCTGACCTCAGTGGGTGGAGGCCATAAAAAGCTGGTTTGGGGGTCCGGAATCTCACAAGCAAGGGATTTGTGCCCCCTGCCCCCAAGAACCTCAAGCAGCACCCCTGAATGCCCATCTACCCCTTTCCCATTCGGTAGCCCGGGAGTGATCTCTCCAATGTCTGGAAATACGCCCGCCCCACGGAAGTCTGATCGGTCTCTTTCCTACTCCGCACTGCACAGGTAAGAAGACTGAGCTCAGAGAGGAGCAGTCTTTTGCCCCAGGTCACACAGCGAAAGACTTGGGGGGTTGGGGGAGACGGGGGAGCGGTGTTGTGGAATTCCAGGCGGACACTGGCGCCCGCTTGTCTGCCCGCTTCTGATACCCGGGTTCGGCAAAATAGGCCGCTAACGAGCGGCCCATTAGGAGGAATTGTCACTCCTCTGGGAGCGAGGTTGTCCCATTAGGGCGAATTGTCATTCCTCCTGGAGCGAGGTTGTCCCGGCTCCGCGCAGGCTGAGTGCCGGGGCCGAGAGCAATTAACGCGGCTCCGGCGCGGGCAGCCGCCTCTGCCCCGGGCAGCGGGGGCGGGGCGGGGCGGGGGCGGAGCGCCCGGCGCGGCTGGAGTCGGTCACCCGGCGCAGCCCCTTCCCCTGGAGCCCGCCTTTCATCTCCCCGCGCCTGGCGCCTGCCCGCAACCCTGGCCCGTCTACAGCCCCCTCCCCCGCCCCTCCCCCGCCTCCTCCTAAATGCCAGGATCCAGCGATCGGTCTTGGGGGTTGCAATCGTTGCTGTCCGCGCTCAGTCCTCCACAGTTTGCAAGGAGTGTCTTCGCCCTGGGATTTGCGGTGCGCGTGCGCGGCCGCTCCACTTAGGGCCCGGGCGCGTGCGAAATGCCTCGGGGAGCGCGGGAACCTGAACGGCTGCGTGGCCGCGCGCCGGGGCCTGTGCGACGCGTGGGGGGATCCCCGGGTCCTCCACTTCCTACCTGCGTGACCTTGGGCAGCACACTTAGCGCTTCCTAGCCTTAGGCTTTTCATCTGTAAAATACGGAAAATAATCTCCGCCCGGAGCGGCGTGTTGGAAGAAACAAATGAGATCCTGGAGGACAGGTCCAGGTACTGAAGCATCATGCAGAGTTGACGCTTAGTGGTGACTGAGTTCCGATTGGAACCCCACTTTTCTGCGTGCGAATAGGCACCGGGAACTAACCTTTATGGAATGACCCTAAGTGCCAAAGCCAGTACTCGCTAAAGGACTACACACTTTTCAGGCCCAGCCAAATTCTCAGCCCCCAAGATTTTGCAAACAACCTACCTACCGTGAACTCCGTGAAGGTGGGCAATGCGCCTCCTGTGGGATACGTGGCAGAGAGAAAGCATTCGATACTTGCTACTGCTTTAAGAAATGAGTATTTTTATTTTGATATTTTTTTATTGATCCCCTACACCTTCTGGTTACTTTATGTAGCTTACTGAATTTGATTACCACAAGAGCCATCCTAGGTAGGGCTTATTATCTCTCATTTTAGAGATAAGAAGTGGGCTGAGGAAGGCAAGTAAGGAGCCCAAGGTCACGCGGCCAGGAAGAGGTGAAGAAAATATTCTGAAAATGCAGCCAACTGGAGGAGCAAATGCATAGATGGGACTTTCCATAAAGGGTTAGAGTTGTGTGGAACTCCCGCTCTTTTCCCAGCAGAAGTGAGACCCTTTCCTGAATTGTCTCCTCCCCGGCAGGGAGCTAGCAGAAGACAAGGTGGGCAGGCTGGTCGCCCCCTGGGCACCTCTGGTGCTCTTGGCTGAGCTTGGCACCCTGACTTTGAACACTAGTCGTTTATTTTTTATCTCAACTATTTTCCTATTTCTGGCTTCATTATATTTATTTCTTTACCTGAACATCAGGACCCGAGAGTAGTGAGGGGAACCTGGCTTCTCCTCTCCCAGAAATTTCATCAAAATAAAAGAACTCAAGTAGTATTGATTTCTTTAATTTCCCAGGAGTGAGCCCGTGTGCCTCTAAACTAACCAATATTAACAAGGAATTTTCAGGAGCAGTTATAAAACAGTGGCTGGGGACAGCCCAACTGAAAGCCGAACCCTTTTGTACACTTTGGCAGCTGAAGGCTGAACGAATTTCAGGTTTGCTTCCAAAATATATAGCCTGCACCTAGCTGGGTCCAGAAGGCACAGAACTGAACCTGGATTTACCTGTACTGTATTTGAGATGCATATCAAGCTGACTATCATCAAGAATGACTCAAGGGGAAAATGCATACATCTCCAGATAGCTTTCATAGTTGCTGGTTTTTTTTTTTTTTCTCTTCCTTTTAAACTTTCTCTGAGCTTCCACTTTATGGGGAAAAATAAAATGAATGTGTTTGTCCCTAGTGGTGGGAGAGGGACCCAGAGGTTTTAGAAGACTGTGGTTAGGACTGCTTTACTTTTTAACTTTTTCAGGACCATTTCTAATCAAACTGAATTCACTGGCCAGTGCAGACTGTTTTTAACCTCTAAGATTCAGATAATGCCTATTCTGGTTGCCCTGGGCCAGCACAGTTTCATTCCAGGCAGAGGTTTGGGGTGAAGGAAACAGAGCCTCAGAAAGGTGGTCTGGAAGTGGGTCTGGGAGTCCAGTTTCTGCCTCTTGAGCTGGGAGGCATTCTCCAAGCCGTGGTCATTTCAGTAATGAAAACAATGCCCCCTCCTTCCAAGGCTCCGGGGACTGTTTAGCAAGCATCTGCTCTGTGCAAGGCCCCGAACCAGGGGACTTCTGTTTGCCTCATCACTCACAGGATAATCGGGCAGGTAGAGAAAAAGCAGTTGCAGCCTGGAGAGAGTCATTTGAAGCAGTCGCTCTTGGCCCCGCGGCCTAAGGAGAGATCCGAGGCCTCTGCGCGCTGGAAGCTCGCTCTCCTCTTCTCTGGACTAAGACAGTCATCGCTAAGCCTTTGAGATGTAATTACTTAAGGTATAATTTGGGATAGGGTGGAGATATCTTTTTTTTTTAAACCAGGTGCAATGAATAAAAATGTGCTTCCCGAAAAGGTGCCCAGGCCTCGGGTGTGCAAACTTGGAACCCGGTATTTCTGAGATTTGCAAGGGGGAGGGAAGCACTAGATTTTATCGGTGCCTTTTCCTCTCTCTTCCTCCTCCTTAAAGGTAAACACTGGCACCCATGCACACATGACAAACATGGGCTCAAACAAACGCACGAACACACAATGCACGCAGTCTTGAGAAAAAGGTCGGATCCGGATGTCGCCCAGAAAGGAGATTCAGGCAAAAGAAAACACGCGGATTCCAGGTCTCTAGGAGGGCGCTGGTTTTGTTTTTGAGTGGAAGAGATGGGGACGACTGGTTTACATTGTCTAGTCGGCACTATTTGGGAGTGGGCAATGCCCTGACCACCTCTCGGGCTCCCTCCAGCCCCTGTTCTTTCGGCGGAGTTACAGTAATAGCGGACGCTGTTGGGCACTTGCTAACAGCGAAATACTCTTCTAAGCGCTGTGCACGGATTACTTCCTTTAGCAGGGATACTGGCCCGTGTGTTTCAGGGCTGACTCTTAAAGTTGTAAAGTTAGCCTAGTCTCGGCGCATAGTAGGAGCTTCGTAAATGTTTCTGCAATGTCAGTTGCAGATTTTAAAGGTGTTCTGGCGGGCGGGTGGGAGTGGTAGAGGTGCGGGGTACCTTTTAAAAAGAGGGGTCAAAAGACAGAAGAAATGGAACTAGGCGAACTTCCTCTTTAAATAATCGGCCTTAATTACGCCTTGGACTTTTCAGTTTTGGCGTGATTATAACCCTTGAGGGATCGCCTAATAACCACTCTGCTGACTGCTCCTGTAATTAACTCCTAATTTATTTCAAACAGGAAAAAAAAAAAAAGGTCCCAGCCTCTTCCAGAAGAGCCAATCGGAGGCGAGCGTCTGTGGCGTCAGCGCCAGGCCCGGCGCGGATTGGCTGGGCCGAGGCTCCCACTTCCCCTTGGAGGCAAGGCACGGCTCCCGGCGCGCCCCTCCCGTCTCCCCCCAAAAAAGTTTGAGTCGCCGCGGCCGGGTTGCCAGCGGAGTCGCGCGCCGGGAGCTACGTAGGGCAGAGAAGTCATGGCTTCTCCGTCCAAAGGCAATGACCTGTTTTCTTCTGATGAGGAGGGCCCGGCGATGGTGGCCGGGCCCGGCCCGGGGCCTGGGGGCGCCGAGGGGGCCGCCGAGGAGCGCCGCGTCAAGGTCTCCAGCCTGCCCTTCAGCGTGGAGGCGCTCATGTCGGACAAGAAGCCGCCCAAGGAGGCGTCCCCGCTGCCGGCCGAAAGCGCCTCCGCCGGGGCCACTCTGCGGCCACTGCTGCTGCCGGGACACGGCGCCCGGGAAGCGCACAGCCCCGGGTCCCTGGTCAAGCCCTTCGAGACCGCCTCGGTCAAGTCGGAAAATTCAGAAGACGGAGCGGCGTGGATGCAGGAGCCAGGCAGATACTCGCCGCCGCCAAGTGAGTGCGCGCCCGGGCCGGGGCGAGGGGTAGACCGGTGCGTGGGGGTACTGGAGGGAACTGGGGGCCGGTATTCCAGGCTGCGGGTACGCAGACCTCTCTGCACTGTGACCCCGGAAACAAGCATCGTAGTGCTTGACGCCTCGCTATCCCCAGAGGCAGCGCCCCGGCTGCATCCGAGACACCCTCTGGCTAATACCCGCGCAGCGCCTGTTCGGAATCCCGCAGCGGTACAGGGTGTTCAACACGATTGCGGGCTCCCTGATCTCTGAAGGGCGACCCCCGGCTCGGTTTGCGGGGTCGCTTGCTCATCGGTTTCTTTAGCCCAGAGCGCTGCGCTCCGGCCCCTTCGCTTATTTTTGCTTCTGTGTCCGCTGGGGTCTCTGGAGAGTGAAGGGGGTCCACGTTTACTGAGCGCTGGAATATGTGCCAGGCAGAGGCGGGGGGTCTTACCTCCTTTCAAAGTTCACAACTCTGCGCGGTGCGCCCTCATTTTAACGACGAGCTAACTGAAATCCAACCCGACATTGGGTAGAAATCATTGTCTCCCGTGGGTCCCTGGGGTGTCGTAGCAGGATCCCACGAAGGGTGGTGGCAGAGACTGATGCGGCGAGGAAATGTCGCCCGGTCGTCGCCGCTGCCAGCACCTCGCTGGCGAGGTTCTAAGCTTCGCCGGGAGCGGGCTGGGGTCAGAAGCGCGCGGGCTCCTTTTGGCTCACAATAATAATTAACAGCATTCCAGCAGCGCTTGACAGTTTACAGAGTGATGCTCATTAGTTCACCTGATCCAGATCATCGCTGGAACCCCAAAGTGTGGGCAAAGGCACGTGACCTGTGGTTCTCCAGATTTTCAGATGCCCACACTTTAAGAGGCCTGAACTTGCTTGAGCCAGGTCACCAACCATGGCTGGGTTGGCCAAGGAGCCTGGTGTCCAAGCCCTGCTCCTCTGTATGGTGCCCTAGCAACCTTTGATCCCTTGCCCCCGAGAGACCAAGCAGAAGTCCTCACACCTGTACCTGTTTCCTGCCAATGAGGCAGGAGGGCAGAGAGGCCCGTAAGAGCTGTTTGCGCCTCCAGCTTTAGCGTCCATTTTTGGGCCGTGGGTCCTTTTGCAATTTGGAGAAGTCATTCCCTATAGCTCCTTTTCCTTCTGTTTCCTGGCCTTTAAGATTTCTCTACCTGCACTGTACCTCTGGGAAAGGTGAGAAAGAGGGGCCTGTGCGGCAACTTTTTCCACACCCAGGAGAACCATATCTTTCTACCTTTCTCCAGTAAGCCCTCAAGATTCAAGCCCCACAGTATTTTGTGAACAAAACAAGGCCATCCACCCCGGCGTCAGTGGCTATCCCCTCTGGCATCTCTCTCCACCCTGTTAGAAACTCCAAAAGATTCAAAGGGCGTGGAGATTAAGGACTCAAGGAATTTAAACTCAAGTTTGCACAGTGTTTTACAGCACTTTTCCCCCCGGATTATCTTATCTGATTTGTGTGTGGCAGCAGCCGGCCTCCTGGTAACAGATGAGGACATTTCTGCAGAGTTCAGAGGAATCAGCACACACCGAGTTCAGGCTTGACAGAAAAACCTTGGGGACGTTTGATGATCACCTGCCTGATGGCAGATAGGGCTGTGGGCTTTCTAAACTTTAGCTCTCTGAACCACACTGCCAGATCTATATTTACCCATTTTATTGCTGGTGAAATAGAGGCTCAGAAACCTCAAGGGACTTAATTTGTTTGACAAATTTTGAGTGCCCATGTACTCCTAGGCCTGGGTCAATGCCCAGGGGCATATCAAGGATGGAGACCTTACAGGTAGTGATGTCCCGAGGTCAGAAATCTCCACTTCCTTAGGCCTCGAGGTTCTGGGATGGCAATTCCCAACTTGCTCTGTAAACATCCCTGCCACAGTGTCCTGGAGTGATCTGCTCAGTCAGGCAGCCTTGGGCCTGGATACGACCTTCCCGTGAGAAAAATCGGAGATTCTGAGAAAATTTTATTTTAAAACAAAAAGCGGGTCTTAGGTTCTTGGGGCCTGGAGATGGCAGCAGGAGCCCTGTGGTTGGAGTAGTGGGTCCAGGGAGTGCCTAGCGACGGAGCCTGGGGCGAGAGGGAGCCACCCGCCCGGGCCTGGTTTTGTTATTTGGAGGAAGTAGGATAAATGCTGTTTTGCTTTGTATAATCGCATCCTTCCTCTGGCTGGTTTAAAATGGGGTGGGGGTTGGGGGAGGAGTGGTGTGCTGGGAGGAAGCCCCGTAGCTCTGTGACTTTGATACACATATGCGATCCCTGTCGCCTGGATTTCATAATTCAAATGCAGCCTCTAGGAGCAGCTGCAATGCCCGTTCCCAGGCACGGAGTTGCTTCCAAACATAGAGGAGGATTGGGTAGACGCTAGGAGCTTGGTATCTGAGCAGAAACAGCTGGGTCCTCTTGAGAACCCGGCCGGGTTTGTGAAGGGTGAGCATTCCACAGGTCTCTGAGTCTCAGACGGTGTGGTTAGTTTATTTGTAAAGTAAGAATTAGGCACCCCAGTTCCCTGGCCTCTTTAGGGATTAGCATATGTAAAAGTCTAGACTTCTGTGGTAATTTCCTACCCGTCCTTCTCCCAGATTTCTGTTTTTTTCATGGGTTGCAGAACGAACTATCTCCTTCTTTTTCATCACTAAAGTGATGGTGAATAATGTCACATTAGGACAAATCCATTTCTTGTTGGAAATGGAGGCCGGGTTGGGACTTGTGCTGTGTCACCCTCAACTGTGAAGTGTAAACTCTTCCTTGGGCCACCAAAGTTACTAAACAAGAAATGCGACATTCTCCCCGTGAGTGCTTTGGAGTTACTACATTTGGAAAATTAGCATAGCTCATAAAAGCCAAATGCAGAAAATTAATTGTTTAGTATTCTGTCCCACAACTCCACACTCCTCCCCCGCCTCCCCTTGAGGAAAAGAAGCCCCAAGTTAGCTGTGGAAGCACGAGGATGCTCAGTCCTGTGACTTCCTAGAGTTGAATCCATTTTCAGTATGGAGCCTGGATGCTGTTGGCATACCTTTATTTTGCTTGTTATTTCCCTCTTTGTGAATTCCCGAGACAAACTAATCGTTTACACATTTGCTCTAAACCATAGAATGGGTAGAGGAGATGACTAAGATGTCATCACATGCTCTTAATTCAGAGGCAGCATTATTTCCCCTGACATTTACATTTATGGGCGAGCTAATTTTTCCCTCCTTCTTAGTAAAGTTTATATTACAGAAGCACCCAGCCAAGAAACTTAGCCCACATCCAGATCTGTCAAATGATGTTCAGGTTTTATAATCTGTGGACTGGATAGAATGACAGCTGTGTGGTTGTTTATTGCATGCGGCTGCTCCCAAATCCAAAGATGCTATTAATTTACTACAGACCTTATCTGCACAGTTATCCTTCATAAGTAACGCTGATGCAATCCAACTTTTCCTGGTGCAGAGAAGGGACCAACCCAGTTTATAAGACACTTCTCATTTTTCTTCTCATTTGTGATTATCTCATCATCTTAGGGAAATGAGGATTATCATGAACCTAACGCCTCATTTTAAAGATGAGAAATTAAGCTCAGAAGAGAAGGGGTTTTGTTTCTCAGAACACTCAGCTGATGACATATTTCCATTATCTCTAATGATGTTTGTTTCCCATATAGAAAGTTCTGTTCCATCATTAAATTTCCAATTTTTTTTGTAAAAAGACTCAAATTTTTTAATAAAGCAGTTTAGCCGTTTAAATATGGTCTTTTACTTCCCCCTCAAAAAGATACCACCACACACACAGAGTTTTGAGAGGAGGACCTTTCTGAAAGATGAAGAGGAGAGGCCTGCACAGACACACCTGGAGAGAAAGCCACTTTCTTTTGCTAATTCACCCCTCTCTGTTCTCTAGGACATATGAGCCCCACCACCTGCACCCTGCGGAAACACAAGACCAATCGGAAGCCACGCACACCCTTCACCACGTCCCAGCTCCTCGCCCTGGAGCGAAAGTTCCGCCAGAAACAGTACCTCTCCATCGCAGAGCGTGCAGAGTTCTCCAGCTCTCTGAACCTCACAGAGACCCAGGTCAAAATCTGGTTCCAGAACCGCAGGGCCAAGGCGAAAAGACTGCAGGAGGCAGAACTGGAAAAGCTGAAAATGGCTGCAAAACCTATGCTGCCCTCTGGCTTCAGCCTCCCTTTCCCCATCAACTCGCCCCTGCAAGCAGCATCCATCTACGGAGCATCCTATCCTTTTCATAGACCTGTGCTCCCCATCCCGCCCGTCGGACTCTACGCGACTCCAGTGGGGTACGGCATGTACCATCTATCCTAAGGACCAGCTCAATAGACTCCATGTTGGATGTTTGTTTAAACGCGTTCCCTCTCTCTCTCCAAGAAAGCGGTCCCAGGCCAGTGCTCCTGTCCTGGAAACCTTGCTTACACCACCCTAAGCGACCAGGCTGGCAGGGCCGCAGGTAGAGTTCGAACTTGTTCTTTAGACTGGAGACACCAACCCCTGTTTTCTTGGTGTAATCTTCCAGATGTCCCCTACTCCTTCCACACAGATTGGCTCTGATGGTTTTTATATATAAATATATATATATAATAAAATATAACATTTTTATACAGCATACATAAAAATTTGAATTATTTTGAAAGGCAAAATTTGTATACATATATATCCTCTTTTCTATATATCATCTTCCTAAAAGAGACTGCTTAAATCTATTTGTTGTCTTTTCTTATAGTGGGAGACAAATTATTTGCTAAAATTGCTGAAATTTGGTGATCTTGTCAGGATAATTGACTTTTGCTTATGGAAAACAAATACTAGAATTAGACACCATATGCATAGACGGTGGTTATGGAGAGATTCCTTCAAGTGACGGGGACACATGTTTTGCATTTTTACATGCTTTAAAAAACTCATTAGATATTACTATATTTGGCCCTATTTTTTTCCCCTCTACACATTGCTAAAGTTTTACCTTTTCCTTTTTTTTTTGTAAGATCAATAAAAGGGGGATGAGAAGAATCCTGAGAGTGCCTGGGGTAAGGTGGAAAATGGAAGTTCTTCCTAATTCCTCTCGAGGCTGTTGCTTAACTCTCTTTCAGATAATTGGAGAGTGCAAAGTTAAAGCATGCCGGGAGGAATTGATGGTTTCTGTGAAATACTAGGTACGTCAATCCTCACACGTTGCAAAGGTGATTTTTTTTGGGGGGGGGGGGATAGTTCTCTGCTTAAAAAAAAATGAATTATCTTGTAGCCATTACCTATATGCTAAATATTCTTGAACAATGAATAGATCCAGAAAGAAAAAAAACATCATGCTTTCTCTGTGTGTACCTATTGTATGTGTTAAACTTATTAGAAAAATTTATATACTTTGTAACATGTTGGGGGCAGAGGGTAAAGCCATGTTGTGACTTGCTAAAAATGGTGTTGTCAGACAGCCCATTTAGCTCCTTGGTATTTCATCTTCCCATCCATCTCTCCCCTCCCCCAACCCCCCATCAGTATACTTCCATCCCTTTGAAAGGGTGCCTTGTATAATTTTATATATTTTATTGAAGAGTTATTTCTTATCTCTTATTCTGAATTAAATTAAACGTTTGTTTTATTGCAGTAAAGTTTGTCCAAACTCAAAATTATTTTAAGAGGTGCTGCTCTCCGTTCTTAGCTGAGTTTAGCTCGAAAATGCCACTCAGATTTGGGGAGGGGGGATGGTGAATTGTATTATGATTTTAATGTGAAGCAATCAAGAGTTGTGGCCAGATTCAGCGTGGGGTGAGGGAGTCGATTGAAAATAGGGAAATCCTTTGAAATGTTTCCTCTGGCAGCTTGTGTTACTCATGGAAAAGAAGCAGAATTGCTTTTAGATTTTCAAACTCCAGTGAAAGATGAGCTTAGAAGAAGTGGTGGAGCCGGGGGATGGGCCAGAATCCGAGTGGTTTGTAGATGATCAAGGGAAAAATCTTGAACTTGAAATCTCCCAGCTACCAAAACAACAACAAACTTAAAGCGGAGGGAGAGCGACCCATAGCTCTTTGCAAGTAGAGATGGTAACGAGATGCATTCGCTGGGGTGGGGGATGCGTGTCTGCTGCCCTTTGAGGACTGTGTCAAATCGCATTCCCTTTCCCATTCCTATCCCCTTCCAAGGAGATGGACCCCGAACAAATGCTCTTTTCGGTTTGAAGGCGGAAGGTGGTTCATTCAAGTCCCTTTTGCTTTGCAGCCTCCCTTTCCACTGGGTACAGAACAGGGGTCGGGCTTTGGGTTTGAGGGATCGCCATTAAAATAAATTGGTAATGGGTGAGGGGGGCGGAGAAGGAGCTTAACCTCCGCTCTCTGCCGCACGAATAAGCAGCCACTGACGACACCTTTCCGGGGTCGGTTATCGGATGAGAAGCTCCGGTGACCCTGGGAACCAGGCCGAAGGGGATGGAGAACTCTGACGCAAAGCTGCGTGGTGGGGAGACCGGCACCTGGCACCTACCAGGACTAGTGCTTTCGTCCCACGTTCCCTCTGGGCCGACAGCCTGTTTGAAAGTGGGCGCCGGAAACTGTCTTGCGGGCGGGCGGAGGCTCCCAGGGGTCGGGCGACAGCCTGCGGTCTCAGCTCCGGTGCGGACGGTGCTCCCAACCCACGGGGTCTCCGAAGCTGGGGACCGATATCGCCCAGCTCGGCCGCTGCCCTCCCGAGCTGGAGCGAGCCGCAGGAGCATCCCAAAGCGCCCCAAGCGTGCGCCCGAACTCCTAGTCCCAGCGCGGCATCCAGCCATCTCCCTTTATGAGAGACGTTTTCCAAAGGCCAAAGCCCTTCCCGGTTTCGTGTCGTCATCAGCCGCCAAGCTGGGTCCCTAATTAGCCTGTCCACTGAGCTTCCTTCCCGGCGCCGCGCGGACCCCGCAGCCTCGGGCCATCTCAGCCCGGTGGGGGATCCGGAGACGCGGCTCCGGGTGAAGACTCAGCTCACCCCGGGGAGGAAGGGGTCGGGAACCGGAGTCCGATTCGGAGAACAGGGCAGCGTCCTGCGTGGCCAGCAGGGTGGATTGGAAACCGTCTGGGCGACTGCGCGTTACCCCAATCGCCCCAAACTCCAAAGGAAGACTGAGGCCCGGAGAGCGAAAAAGAGTTGCTTATGCTCAGACATCCGCACCGCAGCGCTGCTAGGTGGATGGGGTGGCCGAGTTGAGGACGGGGCCGGTTGCGGGGCCCAGACCACCGCCTGAGGTCCGCGTCCGGCGGGCGCTCGGCTCCGGGGCTCCGTCGGAACCTGCTGCCCCGCGTTCGGTTCGGCCCCTGTCCCCGCCTTGGTCAGGTTCGGTACGCCAGGCCTTTCAGAGATCAGACTAACGACCTGCGGCGGCAGAAGGACCCTGAGTCACCAAGAACCCGCGCGGCCTCGCCTTGGAATTAAAGCCCAAGACGCCAGTGTGCCGGCTTTAGACATGCTCGCCGGGGCGCACGGAGCCTGGCGCACAGGTTCGCCGCCTCCCACACTTGTCAAGGCCTTCATCCCAAACTTTCCAGAAAGACAGCTCTGCTTTCAGAAGGAGGGGAAGAAAGGAGAGGAAATGACACTAATTGAGATCCTGCTAAGTGCCGAATGAGGCATTTTCTCACGTCTCATTTAGTCGTTGCACACCCCTGGGGAGGTATTATTGATGCCATCTTAGAGTTGAGGAAACTGAGGCTCAGAGAGGTGGCTGACTACCTACTAGTCACAGAGCCAGTAAGTGGCAGCAGCAGAATTCGGGCCTAGGTGTGAGCCTGGCGGTGGGCATGAGATGCTGGCAAAGGCAGGCTGTGCAGGACCTGCCTCAGACACGACCCGGGGCCTGTCGAGCTCTCCAGACCCCCAACCCTGAGAGCCCAGCTCTGGGGCCTCTCTGCAGCCCTGTCACCACCCCTCATTGCTCTCAGGGGCTTCCCACCTGAGGGCCCAGTTTCTCCTTCACCCGGGCATGGGGCTCAGCCTGGCGGCTCTCCCCTCTGTGGCCCTGGGGAGGCGAGGCTGGGGCAGGGCCGGCAGGAGGTAGGCAGAGAAGGCCTGGCTGAGAGCGGGCACTGGCAAGACGTCTGCCTGACCCCACTGAAAAGAGTATCCTGCCTTTGAGCGGAACCTTGTCTGACCGAAGGAAAACTCCCACGGCCATTCTTTGCTATAAAAGCTGCTCATTTGCCACGGGTTGGAGAGGCCATTCCCCCACCCCCACTCCCTCTCCACTGCTGGGTTTGGAATAAACATAAACCTCATTTATAAAAGAACCCACGTCACACACACACCCCCCCCTCTCTGAAATCGCAGGCCCGGGTGGTGGAATTGATTGTGCCCGTTTTCCCCTTCAACATAAGTCAAACAATTTTTTCCAGATTGGTGATGCTGCGGGCCTCGCTAATGCAATTGGTCAGAGAGCAAGGAGGAAAGTCGGCTGTCAACTTCTGGACCCCTTCACCCACTCCAACCCCCCCTACCCCTCTCACCTCCTCCCTGCTAGGAACTAAATAAAAAGCAGTAAAATTACTTTCCGAAATAGCCTGCTTCAAAGCCCAACAGAGTACCAGGCTGCGGGAATCCTGAATCCTGCCCTGATAAGGCTCGTAATAATCAAATCCAAACTCCATCCACCTCCTCTGACTCTTTCCAGGCTCCTCCGGACCCCTCTGCATTTGTTGATGAAAACACTTTGATGTCCTGAGTCCTCCAAACAATTATTATTATAATTTTAAACAACCTGGTATTTTCCATTACTAACGGCTCGGGCTTTGAAGTTACACCTCATAATTTCCTAAATTAAATAAATCATTTTAAGTTTGCACTGGGAGGCTTTTAATAGCAGAGAAAGGAATATCATTATCTTATTGAGACCCAATTGTGGTGGCTCCAGTTTGGCTGTAGCTGGGGGCAAAGTACACTCACTCTGGCAGACATACTTTATTAACCTCCATAACTCTTGAAAGAACATTTTTATATTTTCTTTGATTTCCCCCCTCCCTCTCTTGTTTTAAAGCTGTCCCAACCTTTAATTAGTGCCTAATATGAAAAGCATTATTTTTTTAATGCTATGTAATTTACCAGCGGCAACAGGCCAACTTAACAATTGTTTATTAGACTTGGTTTTTCACACAGGGCAAAGAATGCCGCTCCAAACCTAACTTTTCATGGGTGGTTGCACTAATTAATACAGTGTCTGAGGCTCCTAGGGGGTTTTTTTAATATCGAAGCCTATGGGGGCGGAAGGGGGTTTTAGAAGTCCAGCTCCTGCCGACGTTCTCGCTCTGATTTCTTTCATGCTGTTTTGATCCTGTCTGTGGAGTCAGCACAGACAGAAACTGTTCCCTGGCTCCAGGACTCCGGGGATCCCGAGGCAACGGCCCCAGGAACCCCCAGCACCTCCACTTGTGATTTATGGCTCCTGGGGCCCAGGCTTGGGGTGCAGGGAGCCCACTGCCGGCTCTGGGCTTGGAGGGGTCGCCCCTCATGCAGCCTGGAGGGGGAGGAGCTGGCCTGGGGCTTGGCTGGGCAGGAGTCAGGCTGGTGGGGGCAAATGCCAGGTCTCGCAGGCACCAGGGAGGCTTGGCTCCGGGCATAGAATTGGCCCAGATCGAGGCAGGGCCTGGGATGGGGGTGGGGGAAAAGCAGGCAGGGACTCAGGCCAGCTCTGCCTCTCTCTTACTTCTTTCTTCTCCATTTCCCCATTCTTTTGTCTCTAATTTTCCCTTCTCATCTTTAGTTTCTCTGCCCCACCCCTCTTTCTTATCCTTTTTTTTGCTGTCTCTCCTTTCATTCTTTCTCGGGTCTGTCCCACTTTATATCTTTTAGCTTTCTCTTTCTCTGTCTTCTTACTATCTGCTCCTTTTCATGCTGTCGTTCTTAATTTTCTCTTACTGCTTTTCCCTTCTCACTTTCTTTCCCTTCACTTTGCTCCTCCATTGCGTCTTCCAATGTTTTTCCGTTTTCTTTTTATTCTTGTTCCCACTGTCACCTATTTCCCCCGCCCTCCTTCCCAGTGCCTGTTCTTTCTTCCAGCGATTTCGTGCGGGATTCCGGGAGCCCAGGCCCGGCGGGCCGACCTCGCTCCTCTGGGCGCCGGAGCTGCGCCCTCGCGCAGGGGACTCCTCCTCGACACCACGTCCCTTCCGACCCCTTCCCTCCCCTGCCGCACCTGGCAGGCGAGCCAGGGAGAGACCCTGAGCAGGAGGGGGGCGCGTCACTGGTTTTCTCCCTTGAACCGTGGGCGTCGCGGGCTAGAAGGGCAGCGCCGGGCGGAGCAGGGCCGGTCCCCGCGCGGCCCCTTCTGCCCCGCCCGCCGCCGGCCGCCCGTTTGAT